CTTGCTACCCTGTTTGCTTCCGAGTGTGCCGGGTGGGTAATGCTGTAATATGCACGCTATGGAAGCACCAGGGGACAGTGATTTTCCGAAGGCAGGTGTTCACGACAATTTCTGTGGATGGAAACCAGAAACAAAGCTCATGAGCCAAAGCCCACTAAGCAAGGTTGTACACCACCAATACTTACATATGAATCAATCAAACTGACAGACAACGTATACTACAATGCGTCCACGCTTGCAGATTGATTTCAAGATTACCTAGATCACTGACAGCCGACATTCGGCGGACCTGATTGGCTGTTGAGCTGTAGATTTTTGCCAATCATAGCTCGATGCTAGACCGCTGTGAAGCCCATCTTCCAGCCTATCACGCTTGGGCTAGGCTTATTGGAAATTACCGGGCCTAACAGCTGATGGTAAGACGGTTGAGGCGTAATATTCCACTTAACGTTTAGCACTCCATAGAAAGCTCTACTCAATCGTATATTGATGTCCAAATTTTGGCCTAATAAAACCCAGAATCCAGATGCTACAATTATCCGGGATTAGATCTGGGTGGCATCGTACCTCAAATGACTGCGTGGGAGGCATTTACAGAAAATTAACTTCAACTCGCAGAGCATACCAGCGCAACGTGAAGGTTAGCTTCTGCGTAGACTATGGCCGCACACTTGTTTGGAACTACGGCGTGGCTATCGACGTCCCTATAGCCAAAAGTTTTTTAAGATGTCAGCTGATCAACATTGTAATCATATGTGGCGCCATAAGTGTAGGCGCTACCGCTTCAACACCCTAAAAATATTTGCAGGCTTAAAGCTGGTGGTTTTGCGGAATATCTAGCGGGAAACCAGACGCAGCAAGTCGTTTCTGAGGGTTTGATAAACAATCGGTAGTCCTTAATTGGACGACGTTTGGCTTTTGATACAAAAAGCCAAGCGATCAGATAACCATTTTGGTCAGATTGTAAGGTGCCCGCCAGATACCACGCGGGCGAACAATTATCACTCTTGAATTTCGTGATCACCAAGGAATGGCACTTCGTCGATAGGGAGTTAATTAACGCTCCATTCGGACATGGAGACCGCTGTGTGCTGACCATTGTACCTTGAAATTCAAAGGTAAATTCGAAAATTCTTCCGAGCTGTGGAGGGCCAGAGCGGCTTCCGTGAGCCTGCGTCACCTGTGGCGCGGGCGTGATATCAGCTTCTCTGTCAAGGGTCGCGTTTACAGTGCTGCGGTGCGCTCCATATTACTACATGGATCAGAAACCTGGTCGGTGCGCGCCAAGGACGTCAAAAGCATTTCAGTGTTGGACCATCGATGTGTTCGGATCTTTGCTCGAATCTGGTGTGAACATCGTACTAGCAATGCTGAAGTACGTCGAATGGTATGCGGGAGAACCAACTCAACCTCAATGGATGAACTGATCACACTGCGTAGGTTGCGTTGGTCTGGCCACTTACTGCTTGTGCCAGTTGACGGACCTCCTCGGAGGGCTCTTTTCGCACAACCACGTGAAGGATGGAAGAGACGCAGAAGTGGTTGAAAAAAGACTTGGCAGAGTATAATAGAAGCCACTACCAGCAACCTCAGCTGCGCTGGCCATTGCCGTCTTCCTCGATGGGACCCCGAGACGGGCCATGTCAATATCATGACATTTTCGGACATGGCCCAGCCGCGTCCTCAATGGCGCTCATGCATCCGAGCTACTGCCCTCAATGTATGGCTTCCCACCCGAATTCACTACTTAACAGCACACCGACAGTGCTGTTTTTACGCACTACTTTATCGGCTGCCGCCTCCGAGGCACAGTTACCTAGCCCACCTACCCGAAACATCGATGGGCAAAATTTGGCAGCCACAACCACTGTACGACAATAGATATTTATGGCAGATGACAACGATGATGATGGCTTCTTCCGTGCAAGCTTCTCAGGAATGCCCATCTTTCTTGATCTATTTAAGCTGGGACAAGTTTCAGTGGGATACCTACAGAAAATCATTGGCAAGAAAATTCACGAGCCTTAACCGATGCTCGTCCTGAGAAACCAGCACGCAGTCAAATGGACCGCAAGCCAACCAAAAGATTCGGCACCCTCTTGAAAAGGGGCCTCGGTTATTCTTCAAAAAGTTCACCAAAAAAGGTATGGTAAAATTCGGAACCAATGTGAGATAGAAATCCGTTAACTGAACGTAAGAAACAAGTCACCATACTGGACCATTCCTGGGAAAAATCATCCCGTTTAGGCACGTGAGACATGGCCGCAGTAGTACGTCAGCCATGTTCCACTTGAGTGACAAGAACAAGGAACCCACGAGTGATGCAATAGTGGTGTCTGAAGCCCACAGAAGACATTATTCATGCCTGTATTCTGCCTCAGCGACCTCGACACACTCAATCTTTTCAAGGCACAACTACGAACCTCCTCTAACTGACTTCGTCTTGAAGGTGGAGGACATTCGTCAACTCTTGCACAAGACAAACTCGTTCTGCGCGTTTTGGCCAGACAACGTTGATCCAAAGATGTTGAAGGAAGCGCCTCTCAGACTGGCAAGATATTTCTAGTCGCACAACGAAGGTAACATTCCCCCTGTTTGGAAGGAGACGATTATTAGGCCAATCTACAAAACTATGAACTAAATATCGCTCGGCAGCTACAGGTTTATTAGTCTGACTACCGTGTCATGCAGGGTGATGGAACGCGTTCTGAAGCGGGCCATCCCAGATCACCTAACTACCAACTCCTTGACATCCGCAGCTCAACAAAGATTCCTTCCAAACCACTCCTGCGTTACAAACACGCTCGTATTTTTTGGAGCGAGGGACTCATTTTCCACTCCTCAAAAGCGTTCTACACGTCCCGCTGTTAAAAGACTCGAGTCTTACAAGATTTAAGGGGAACTTCTGAGCTGGATTTGCGTGTTCTGTCACAGATCATTCTGGGTGAAAGTATGCTAGACCTACTTTTCTCCGATGCCGGTGTCCATCGCTGTTCCTGAAGCCTCAGTCATTCGACCAGTACTGTTTCCGGTCCACGTTAACGATCTTCCAGATGCTCTTTCAAGTCCATTCCCGGTTTATAAACATGACTTAAAATCCTGGGCTTTTAGTGCAAGCGCCTTCAAAATGGCCGTAGAAGCTTCAAGTCAGTGGTCGCTGCAATGGCACTTTCTTCTGAATGACGGAAAGTGCGTCCATATATAATTCGGAGGGGACTCAGTGAACGCCTCTCTCGCGCACTGTGAAACTGGACCAGAATACATCACGAGGATAGACACCCAAAAGCATTTGTGTACCTGGCTTCCTTCAAACGTGGCCTGCCCATTACACCATGCGAAACCGGCTCAGGTGACAATTGTAGTTCCAAGGAATCGTTAAACCTTATCCCTTGTTACTCTCAATGGCTTCCAAATACCCCATCGGAGCAACGTCGGACCTTTCTTGAGCGTGCCGGTCAAGTTATCTGCTCCGGACACAAGAAGGACCCAACCCTTAATAGGCATTCCCAACGAGCTGCTACGAAGATTGTTGGTGGGCTCAGATCCATGGGCTACAAAAGGCGTCTTGCGGTAGTTGACCTCTTTCCCCTGGAGTATCGTTGCTTCCGAGTGGACCAAATCCATGCTTATGTCCTATATGAAGATGATTTGGCCATCAGGTTTTCAACACTGGTTCAGCTGACACACGGTGAAAAGAGAGTAAGAGTTTTTTACGTTCAGGTAACACTTTTATTGGGCAAAGCTTTTTTCATTTCGGGTAGTTGTTCGAGTAGTTGGTTTTGGAATGACCTTTCTTCGACAGCTGTCAGCAATACATCTGGTGCCCAGCTTAAAGCGCTATCAGGCGCTTTTATGTACCAGTCTTTGCGCTGACTGACGTAATGTACCCACCGGGAAATAAAAGAACAATGCTAAGCTCTTTTTTGCCTGTGCCTTTCAGGCACTTCGGTGGGAGCCTCCATCCTGTTTGTCGTTTCGCAAATTCATGGATCAGTGAGAGGTATCCGCATAACCTCTCACGTGGATGGATGGATGGCCGCCATTTTTCACAAAGTCACAGAGCTATAGGAAACCTGAAACATGGTTTTCTCAACGCCGCAAGATGTAACTCTGTAAATAAATGTCACACCGATCCAAGAGTACCTTTTCTGACGCTCATACCCGATAAATTTTGGGATTGTTCGAGTCTGGATACTGGGGCTTCTACGGCTGTCAGGCACTCAAATTAGGGCACGATTTAATTGGAAGGCGGTAATTTCTCCCTAACCGCCGGCGGGTAGATGGGCATAGGTCTCGCGTTTACTGACAAGTGTCACAGATTTCATAATTTGGTCAAAAGATCTACATCTAAGTCATGGCCCACTATGTTCACTCAGGGATAGCTCAGTTGTAGGAGCAGGAATTTACTGGCAGGAAGGTCCGCGTTTCGAATCCGACATCTAACTTTCATCTTTCCCTGTCTGAGCTTGGACAGCCAGAGAGAATCACAGTTGTTGTGCTTCCTTCGAATGACCTAGCAGCTAGGCACGGGAACGGGGTTACAGCTGAACGAAAGGTTTTAGTTTATTTGATGTTTCCAGCAAGACGTGAATACCATTTGTATGTGCCAGACGGGTCGACCAAAATCTGTCAAGGAGTTCGTCAGCATAGGCAACCAGAGAATTTGGATCCAGAATAGATCGTTGTAGTACATCAATAACGACTGTCCACTGCAGAAATGAATTCCTGTAAATTCTCACAAAGATGGTCCGCCCGACTGTAACGTCTGTAATTAAACAAGACTCGTCGAAGCCAACTACAAATGCAGCCAACTCTCTTGGTGGCCATCTGTGTTACTCTTGTTCCACGAGTCACCCTCTTTAACGGATATCGGCATAGTCTTAGTGAAACCGGTTTTCCTGTTACAGCCGAAGGGTTTTATACATACACGGTACCGGCGAGCAGCAGTCCTCCATAAGGTTTAACATGGTGCAAACATATAATCTCCTAGGACTGTGTACTTGTAGTACAGTATTCGCAGCTGCCACAGCTTTGTTCACCGATGATTTGGGAAGATAAAGTAGACAGCTGAGGATCTGATGTGGAACTGATAAATTGGTATCCAAACACAAGGTTATCAGGGTTCGGAAAGGAGGTATGCATTGAAGGCAGTAGCTTGGATGCACGACTGGGATACGTTTGACAATGTCTCTAAACATTGATAATGGTCCACCTCGTGGTCCCCATCCCGAGCAGTGAAAAGCGCAGTTGAGCTTGTTGGTAACAACCTGCTTACTTCTCCGTCAAGTCATTGTCCGACCTCCTCTGGTTCGTTTCTACATGTTGCGTCGTCGTGTGAAAATGACCCTTCAAGGAATACGTGGCCAATCCAGGGCAACCTACATATGTGATGGGTTCATTTATCGTGGGTAAGTTTCTCCACGAAAGCCGTTCGATGCACTTCATCGCTACAAATCCGGAGTTCCAACCAGACCTTAGCAACAGGTTGAACACACCAGCGGTCAAACTCTGAAAGTCTCCGACGCCCTCGGTGCGCAGCGGCCGGGCTTCTGATCCACGTAGCAATATGGAGTTCACCGCAGTATTGTAAACTCGACCTCCGACTGAAAAGATGATGTCTTGCCTATGCCACATGTTCACAAAAGCTGCTCTGGCCTTATCAATCCATGTGCAAATGTCACCTTTCGATAGGCCGACGGGACTGATACAGCTGCCCAGGTAAACAAATTTTTCTGCTATTCAAATTGGTTCGTCCGCGAGCAAGTGTGTATGATTCAAGTCTACATGTTTGTATCGCGGATAAAGAAGAAGCAAAGTAGAAGGAAACATCTGCGTCTGATGCCACTTAATATGATAAACTCGGGCGACAGCCTCCCGTAGACCTTTACACGGCTACGGGAGTTGGCGTACAGTGCCAACAAAGTGTCGAGAATTTATGGGGGACACCCTTGCTTGAAGCAGTGTTGCTGCTTCCAGAGCCTGCTTGGGGGTAAGGATGCAATTGTTAAATTCTCTTGCATGACGCAGCGGACCTGTCCCTCCATGCATTCGGTAAACCTATCAAGAGAAGACTAAAGAGCACCTTCGATAACACATCTACCTAGGCTGGGACCACGGTGGTTTCTTCACGGGGTCCGCGTGTCGTTTTCGAAGAAAGGAACAACGGTTGAGACGATCCATTCTAGAAGCACTTTTTATTCACACCGAATTGCATCAGTCAATTTTATAAGATTGGTCATCGGAGATTCTCCACTTTTTTGAAGAGGGTGGATAGTGACCGTCCCGTGCTGGTGCCCCGCCACGTTTTATTACAGATATCCCGTACTATAATTCCTCTTCCAATGGGCGATTAATTCTTACATTTCATTTGCTCGAATGGGCGATCTCCATAAGCTTTGATGCAGGATGCCAGTTAAACTGTTCTTCGAAGTGTGTGGTGCAAAACATCTGCCAATATATGGCAAACAACCGTAATACATACTCACTCTGGAATCGAACACGGTCGCAGATTGTAACAATGATAATGGCAGTGATAATTTTGACCTCACTTGTTGGGGCACGCTAATGTGATTTAATCCATGAGCAAGCCGAACACAAATATATGAATAGTCCAGATAAGCTTGGCCACTCAAACTAATTTTCCATCAGCAGTATTTCGTGGCTGGATGGTGCAGTGAAATAAGCTTGTGCGTTAAGCGGTTTGAATCCAATGGCCGTCACCCCAACAGTTTTTCACTTCCCCTGGTCAGTGCACGAACCAGGGGATTGGGACGGCTACCCTCATTTTCTGGCTTTGGTGCCTTACAAACAGTATTGTAAAACTTTTCAAAATGTTTATTTCCGGAGAAAAATTCAGGTCATTTCTTAGAAAGGACTTTACTTCTAAGGCTCTTTTATTCAAAAGACACTATTGTGTTCGCCAACGGTTATCCACGGCACACAAAAATCATTACCTCAGTTTAAAGCAACTGATAGTTCTGAGTGAATAAATCTGCAGCAAGTGTTCAATTTTATTCCTAGACATCCGGCAGCTAAGTTGTCGACTTGATGCTAAGTTTATATTGGCGAACTCGATGGAGGTAGTCATATTTCTTACGTGAACAAAGTCCGTTGAATGGTGCTCTGAATGAGTGGAGACGATCTGTAATATTGGCTTATCTCGGCGAAAAACGTCAACAGTAACTTGGTGGAGTTTTGGGAAGGTCAGCACACCTTGTGCAGAGTGGTTGGCAAGGTTCTTTTTTGTCGATATACTGATTTCTTCGTAGTACCGAGGAGAGAGTCGGCGGCCTGGTAGGCAGCACAAGTAGGTAGTGCAGTAGGGTGGCCACTGCTTTAAAGTTTTGACACAACTCAAGCGCAGTGGGACGGCATTTTGGGCGCACGTGACAGGCTTCGTCGGAAAATAGTAGAGAAGTTTATAGCTACGGGCTATCTAATAGATTGGGTACGGCATACTCAATATCATCATCGCGACATCCTATTAGGGTCCATGGATAGCCCCACAATGAACATCTTGGGTGTATCACTTGAAATTTTAGGGGTGGTTAGGAATTGTCAAAGAATCGTTGGAAAATGTAACTAGCAATGGGGTAGTGAACCGGTCTTAACTAGATTGGGGACCAAATGTGTGGAGTAGAGTCGAAACATTTCGTCAGTGAGCCCTGGAGCATTAGAAAGACCGTGGCCCAAAACGAAATGGGCAGCCAAAATTCCCATCTGCTTGTAGTAGTACTATTAGTGGCCAAAATAAACGATAACACGCACAATTATGAATTTGATGAGCCGCCGGTAATCGTGCGATTGGGCCATCATGCATAGTTGAGGCCTCAGTTAGCGACGCGCGTAGGTGAGGGCCAAATGGTTATGACGGGTAACCAAGGTGAGCAAAACGGGTTGAACGCTAGTGATTAGCTTTATTTTCCGTCAATGTCGTTGTGTTGTATGATGCATTCGAGCCCGGTGACGTCATGCCTCCCAGTGGAAAGGATCTCCCACTGGGATGGTGGCAACTTACACGCAAATATCTGAAAATGCTGCATTATTTCCCTACTAATTTCGCATATCTGAGGATGCGATAATTTGCACAGATGAATATTCTTATCAGAGCTGCGTGTTGTATCAGGTAACTTCCGAGTATTATACCGCACTAGATCGAGACCGAACTTTAAATGACATATTCACGTAATTTGTTGCTCGTGACAGAAATAACAGACCCAGAACTTATTCAAACGTCCACCTGAGAGATTTATATATGATATTCTGTATATGCAATCTGTCACCTGAAAAACACCGCGGAAAGTTAGAATATGCCGAGAATTTATTTACCGCGTTATCTCGTAAACTGATAATGGCGTTCAAATCAGCAGTAGTTTATGACCTTGAAAATCCCCGCAATAATGCTATGAGCAAACTGTCACAAAAAGTTGCAATCAAATGAGACTAACTTCTAGTGAAATTTAATTCTGAACACCACAAGGTGCTAAGTGGACACCCACAGAATGCTCTCAAACGGAAAACTTCCGCAAATTCTGCCAAATTTTGAAGTTCGTCACACAGGTGATCGGATCGCGAATCACCAACCATACGCTCATATTATCGCAACTCAACAAGTTTCATTGTCCACTGAATAAATCATGCCTCCAGTGAAAAACTTCCATTGGAGAACTTTCCGAGAATCAGTGGGACACTGGGATGCCTATATGTGGCTTAAAAGTTTGGAACGGTATTCTGAACTCATTTGCCTCTGCTTTGGTCCATCAAGGGTATGAAGTAGACTTCAAAAATTCAATTTCATTGTGCAACTACTGAGCGAACCCACTTAGTGTTTGATTGAATGCCATTTTAATGTGCGGTTTTCATGACTTTTCCACACCCAACTTACCAGGATGTTGACTTGTACATGAATCACATCCCTAAGCCATTGATGACATCGTGCTGTCGCATGGTAGGCAACAAAAAGAGATGAAAGTCAAAAGTAAAAGACGGATATTACCTGATAAAAACTGTAAACTGTAGATCAAGCCACCAGAATGTTTTCATGCACCTTTTGAAAGATAAGTTGCGATACCTTGATGTGAACAGCTAATTGAAGAACAGCATGTGCTGGAATTCATTGGCATGTGAACTGAATGTCCGTGTAACTTGGATGAAACGACCCACTTTCCGTATGTCTCGTGACAATTCTTATTAATCTTGTTGCATTGTTGCTTGCTTTCCTTTAGTCTGAATCATTATACAGACCAGGACAGGCCGCAAAGCAACACAAACTGCACATGCATCACCCACAAACGCCGTAAAATCCACCGAATAAAGTTGCCTTCTTTGTCAGTAGAATGTGAGTTACGCAGAAGTTAACGCAACAACCTTCACATGAGGTGATGTCAAATGCCTTTCTGAAAGCCACCTTGCAGACTTCTCAGGAACACGCATCTTCCTTGAACAAGTCACACTGAGACCAGCTCCGGTGGGAGAAATATATACGACCATTGTCCAGAAAGTCCACGAGGCTGACGCGACGTTCGTCCCAAAAAACCCGGCACGCACCCGGATGAACCGCAGGCCGCCAAAAAGGATTCGACGACTTCTGGAAAAAAGATCCCAATTCTTTTTCAAAAAGTTGACCACATGGGACACAGAAGATGAGCTGGCATTCCGTAAACTGCGGAACCGCTGTAAATCGGAAATCTGCCAATGGAACATACGAAAACAAGCCACCATCATGGACCTCGCTGGAAAAATCAAAAACGCACTGTTCAAGTGCATGAGACATCGCCGCAAGAACAAGCCATGCGAGTTCTTCTTGAGGGACAGAAACGAAGAACCGACAAACGAGCCATCAGTGGTATCTGACGTTTACAGAGAACTCTATGTGTGTCTATACTAAGCCCCAGGGTCCTCGTCACATCCACTCTTGTCAAGGAGAAACTACGAACAGCCTCCAACCGACTTGGTCTTCACGGTGGAGGACATTGGTCAACTCTTGCACAAGATCAACCCATTCTGCGCGTTGGGGTCCGACGGGGTCCATCAAAGGATCCTGAAAGAAACGTCCTATACACTGGCACTTGGTGTTTCGTCAGTCGCTTGACGAAAGCCGCCTTCCCTCTGCTTGGAAGGAAGCGATTGTCACGCCAATATACAAAACTGGTGACCGACTATCGCCTAGCAGCCAAAGGCCTATAAGCCTCACTAGCGTGCCGTGCAAGGTGATGGAACGCACTCTGGAGCGAGCTATCCTAGATCACCTTACTTCCAGCAATCTGATATCTCCAGCTCAACACGGATTTCTCCCAAACCGCTCTTGCGTGACAAACATGCCCGTGTTTATGACAGCTTAACCCAAGCCAAGGACGAACGACTCATATCGGATGGCACATTTTTCGATTTCTCAAAAGCTTTCGATAAAGCCCCACAAGTCCCGCTGCTCCACAATCTCGAGTCTTACGGGATTCAAGGGAAAATCCTTCGCTGGATCAAGGCGTTCCTATCAGACAGATCATTCCGACTGAGAATAGGCTCGACCAATTCTTCTCCAGCGCCGGTGTCCATTGGAGTTCCTCAAGGCTCCGTCTTGGGACCACTCCTGTTTCTGATCTACGTCAACGACCTCCCAGACGTTCTTGCGAGTCCATGTTTGCTTTTTGCGGATGACTTAGGGGATTCAGCGAATGCCTTTGTTATGCATGGTGAAAAGGGACCAGAAAACACCATGAGGATAGATGCCAAAAAAGATTTGGGCATTTGGGTCTCCTCAAACTTGTCCTTCTCACTACACCATGAGAAATCGGCCCAAAAGGCATTCGCCGTTTTACGGATGATCCGACGCACCCTCTCCCGTATTATTCGCATGGACTTCCAAATACTCTATGGGGCCTACGTCAGACCGCTCCTAGAGTACGCCAACCAAGTTGTCTACTCAGGACGTACGAAGGACTTTACCCTATTTGAGCGTGTCCAGCGGGCTGCCACGAGAATGGTTGCCGGCCTCAAATCCGTGGACTACGAAACCCGTCTCGCGATGCTTGATCTCTTTCCCCTGGAGTACCATCGCCTCCGAGGGGACCTAATTCTTACTTACGCCCTGTTTGAACAAAGCTTGGAAAACAGGGTTTTTACCGTTGACCCAGCAAACACCCGGCGGGCACATGGTAAGAAAATTTTCAAGCTCAGGGCACACATTCATTAGACAAAATTTTTTCATTTCGGGTAGTAGCCACGTGGAATGACCTTCCTCCGACGGTCGTACACGCTCCTTCTCGAACCCAATTTAAAGCACTATTAGACATTTATTTATGCGAATCGTCGCGCTGGCAAGCATACTGCCCCGCGCTGAGAACATAAAGAGCAGTGCTACACCCTTTTTTCACTTGTGCATTTCAGGTGAACAACAGCCATTGACCGACAAGATCAAAACCGACCCGGCAAACTTGGGCAAAAGCCTCGATCCTGTGTATCAATCCGTGAATCCGTGAATTGCAATAAGCTAAAGATCGCCGTCTCGCGTTAAAGCCTTCCGTTCAGTTAAGAATAGGCAAACGGTGTTTACCAGTGTCCTGGTTCGCGTCCTTACTGCAGTAGTTTCTCCATTAGCTATGATCACTCACTGTTATTGTATTCGTCAGCTGAAATCTAAATTGTCTAGAAAATCACTCAGTGGCAGCTGTCCGGGTACCTTATGCAGGCGAAACAAACCAATGAACTGAATTTATGCTGCCCGACTCTCTCCTGTAGCTGAAATGCCTAAAGCTCACCCCGTTTAGATCTCATAACAACCCGTTTCTTCATTAGAGGCAAAAAAGATGATCTCAACACAATGAAGGTTTGATCTAGTCAAATCTCCGGGACAACGCCTGATTCGCAACTTTTAGCAGACCGCGGAATATGAGAAATAGGGAAGCCCAAGAAGGTTAAAATGCGGCGGCAATTGCAGAAATTAAAACAAGTTTCAGTTTATTCGCAGCATCGTGCCAAAGGAAATGCTGGTGGAGGAATTATTACGAAACAATACGGGTCACAGTCCATTTCAGGTTTTGCTTTCCCCTTCGCTGTGCAGACCACCTTGAAAGACAATTCCGCTGATATTAAATGTCCAGCTTACCGTTCAGAGCACCGGAAGCCTCACAGTTGAGCGTGATATCCCAACGGATGGAAACAGCCGAGATCTAACTTTCTATGTAGAACGGAGCGTTTGACTCCTCCTGCTACCTCCTGCATTTTTGAGGCTTCTAGGCGAAGGACCTCTTCACAGTTTGACGAAACCCGTGCGCAACATTTAGAAGACACGTAGGGTGCTATAGAGACGGCAGACATCCTATATCATCCATATCTTCATAAAAAGTGTTGAACTCAAACAGCAGAACTGTGAAAATATCACTACAACCGCCATAACTTCCCAGCTACTCACAATTGCAATCTAATACATTCTCATTAGCGTTCGAGTCATGCGTTTACTGACCACATATTTACATTGAGACCAATTCGCAAAGACCGCCACACCTGTCGAAAATAACAGCCTTTGAGGAAGTGGCGCTTAATCCAATCGACTGTGCTTAGCTGTGGCGACGTCCGACATCAAATTATGCCGAAAAGTCGGTTGTGTTACATAGGCGGCTTTTTTAAGTATCCCACTGAAATTAAGAAACACGCCGAAGAAGAAATCAATAACGTCATCAGCGACCGATAAACAAAAATAAAACATCAGCCTGAGCTATCCGAGTACCCGGTGGGCACACTACAAGAATCGCAAGCGTGTTGGAGATTGGCTGTTCGACAACCCAGGCAGGATCAAGCTGGTGGAGAGAAAGTTTATCAAGTAAAATTCTGTTAATCACTTTAATTTCCCAGTTTTCCCTGCCAGCTTCCAAGACTCCGGGTTTTTCGATATTTTACGTCACATTTCTGTGACGTAAAAAGTGTAGGGCTATAGCAGCAAGGGCACGGAATTAATTTCGTTGAACAAAAGGGGTTCCGAATGAATAGTTGCCTGTATTTCTTGTGACGGCTCTTCGCTAGATAAGTAAGGGAGGGATATTAAGCTACAGCCGCAATCTTATTTGGACCGCATGATGCGGGACAATGGAGTGTGTTGGTTCGGGAAAATAGAGGCTGCCTTTTGTTTAGGTGGCCGAAATGGCACGGTTAGAGTGATTTTTTCATGATTTCCTTGTGTCACCGATTGCGCGGAATAGACGGATGAATTCCATTACTTTCTATATCCTTTGGTGATAAAGGTGCCCACAATCATGTATTTGGCCTTGCCTGAAGCATCAACCCGATTTATTCAGCTCTTCTCAGGTAGTACTGTGGAGTTCTCTATTCATATACTTGGTCTGCGAATCGGGATGCCTCGGTGGATATGAACCCAGGTATTTGCGGCTACTGAGACCGGAGAAGTATTTGTTATTGGTCCAGATGCGGAAATGGATCAGCAGACAGCTAATGAGTAGATAAAAATGAGATGCTCATACGCGTGAGCAAACGTGATGCTAATTATGCGCTGATAGATAAAAATGTCAAGACGGAGTTACACAGTGCCTTGTTAGGAGACCAGTACAGTTTTGTGATGCTGCCCAAAGCACTCGCCACACTAAGGGTTGGTAGCTATACCTTGGCCACAATGGCAGCCGAATGGTTACCAGCATGCTGCATCTGTCGAACTGGAGCACGAAAACGAATCTACAAAGGACTATATCCCAAAGACCCACGTTACCTGTATACCACAAGCCTCCCAATAACGAAACCGTAAGCTGCATCAAAAGAAAAGACCATGCTCGTGATGGCAGCATAAACAGTGAAGTTGAAGTCGTACAAGCTGAAACGCAAACCTTTCAGAGTTAAATTGGAATCAAATTTTTGAAAATAACAGTCTTGATGCCCTGTATTTAATGGAGTTCAAGACCTGTCTGGAGGCGTATATTTTGGACTCCGTTTGTACGGATCACTTGAGTAAGAACAGTTTTCACAGGTACCGCGATCTAATTTTCGTCGAACGTTTAGAGGTGTACAGGAAAATGCAAAGGTAATCGGCAATGATATGTACGACGGTGGAAGAAGAAATGCAGTCATTCGTTGTTTCCTTATCCTTTCTTAACTGTCGGCCTTGAAGGCACTACATGACGATAATTACTGCGTCGCCGTTATTTTGCGCTGCTGTCAGAACCATCCCCAACCATACTTCACTACTTGTTTTCCCCTTGTGTTCTGGAAGTTGGCCAAAGTCCACACCACATATGGTCCATATAATTACGGCCTCATCATATTTAAAACATCCCAAACAAACTGACTGAAAAATTACCCTTAAAACAATTCTAGCGTTTCTGCTCACCAAAAACCTCCTGCAATCTGGTAGAACTTGCTCCATCACATCCAGCCCACGTATAACTAATCAGACATTGTCCTTTTTTGCTCTCGAAAATGCGATCGAAGATCTTCTGACTCTATATCCCTGAATTTCGAAGGCATCTGACATGATACCATTCAATAATCATATATAGAACTCTAAAATGCTTGGCATCCCTTCTTTTGCCTGTCGAGTTTTCAGGCTTTTTCATTGACAAAACAATCGAGATTCAATCCAGTGATTTTCAATCCTTTTGAGGTCTCTAACATGATTATAATCTTGATATTCATTTCCTTATAGTTGATTTTACCAAGTATGTTTTTCCAGCGCCACCATTGGCATGATGAAACCTTACCATTTCATTGGTTCTCGGAACAGTCAAATTTTCCCAGTCAAATACGGCGCCAATGATGATTCTTGCACTAAATTACCCTTAATCGGGAGGGGGGAATCTCATAGATTATCCACCTTTTTAATAGTCGAGTCAATCTATTTTGTACAGTGAGGGTCACGTTAACACATTTTCCCATATAAATATGCAACCGGTTTCGGGGTAATCAACAACAGTTGCAAAAATACGAGGAGTAAATTGTGATAAACACCAAGTTTGTGCAATCGAATGCATAGTATTTGACAAGTGCTGTTTTACCACGATATCTGTGATGTTGCATTCCGTACCTTAGTGTCGACGTGAATCATCTGAGCAACCTCTTGCATAGTTCATTGTTCAACTGTCTAACATTATTATCAACAAAAAAGAGCTGAAACCTCAGCATGACAAATAATTACAATTGTGCTAAGTTTATCCATTTAAACTCCCAGATGATTGAAGAACACTAAAGTTACCATGGCCCTGTGGGCGAAGTCACCGAGTTTTCATCAACCTTATGTTCTGCTTTGGCCCAAATTGGACGGATTTCGACAAAAACACCATAAAAGGGAGATTCAGTTGGGATCCAAAGGAGTCTGCTTTCAAAACCAAATTGATATGCAAATGAGTGTATTTGTCAAAATCTGTCCCGTTCGGGCTCAAATAGAACATATGGTTGACGGAAACTCGGGAACTGCTCCAACCTGATGAGCCCCAAGAAGGGCGAAATCGGTCTTGGGCTGTCAAAGAGATTTCAGTAGCTTTATGAGAGTTATACAGCCTCGTTGCTGGTAGAAACGCATCACTTTGGGGAATGGGAAGATTGTCAGCACAAAAGGAAAACCCATTAACCCGTAGCATTTTCTTTCAAAGTTTCCGTGCGATTCACTTAGGTGCTCACATTCAGTAGCCACTGAACATTTGGATACCCCATTTGCACAGCTCAGTTCTTTACAAGGCCTCAAGTAGCAAAGACCATCGATAGATCGGTTTTGCCTACCAGTGGATGTTGCATCTATTAGTGCACAGATGGTGATAGCCATAATACAAATCAGGTGTATGTGCACTAATAGAAGTTTTTGTATGGTTGCGACACGTATAAAAATAGATACAGTGCGAGAATGTGAGCAAGTCAAAAAGGGAACTTATCGTATATGAGAGTCCCTTGGGGGAAGTCCGGACGGCGGGAACGTGATTTTTTCCGCAGTTCGACTGCTGCACGTACTCCATGGTCGCCCGTGCCGCTGGCTATTCGCACAATGAGATTGATTTCTCGAAATCTACGGCATTTTCAGACTTGCCACTTCATAGTGTAGAATGTCTATGTATAAGGTACATGCTCCTGTATTATTGAAAA